CTTTTGGCCAAAAGCAGCATTTATTTCCAGGTTTTGGCCAAAAAACCCCATAGTCAACAGTGACTTCGCTTAATGACACCAGCATTTGCTCAGCGGATTCACTTAATGATCTTAGTGGATTTGCTTAATGACCACCCCAAAAAGGATGATAGAACTGCATTGGTCATGGGATGACCTGCTTGGTGATAGCTGACTATCCTACTGGGCCATCTCCAGTCGTAAGTCGAGGACTGCCTCTGCTTCTGTTATCTTCCTATACAACTATGAATCGCCAAGATCAACTTGTGGCTGCAGCCCTCGTCCCGTTGGTCCCTCTTGCTTCCCCAGCCCCGGATTTGGGCCACTGACCTTCGCCTCGCCTGACTGTACCCAGGTCCCCCCTCTCCCCTTCTGCTCTCCCCCCCCCTTTTCTTCTGCACATTTCCCTTCACGCCCAGGAGGAGGAGGAGGAGGAGGAGGAGGAAGGCCATACCTGCACTGGCCGGCCGCTGCGGGAGTGCCGGGGAGACCGTGTTGCGCTGGAGGGCCGGCTGCTGCTGCGGGGACAGCAATCGAGGGTCGGTCAAGGAGGAGGTCACTAACGACGGGGTCACTAGGGAGCCCCCGGGGCTACTGAAGGGCAGGGCGCTCTGGTTGCTCACTGGCACCGTCACAGGCATGGCAAAGTTGGGAGCAGGAACGGAGGACTGGAGAGAGAAGGGGCAGGACAGCAGGCTGAGCCCTGGGAGCCGAGGAGGGGAAAGGCTCCTCTGCCCCCCCCCCACCCCAGCGCCCGGCAGGACCGACTGCCCAGCCACCAGAGGCTGCGGGAGGCCTTGGATTCCAGGGAATCGGGGCAGCCAAAGGCCGGCCTCCCAGGCCCACACAGATGTTGGGATGCGAACAAAACCTCAGGCGACGTCCATCCAGCACAATTCTGCCCTCTGCCGGATCCAAAGCTGGAGGAGCAGCTCCGGGTGTTCATCCCTCGGACCACGCAGGACGCACAGAAACAACCCCCCAAAAGCCAAAGACAGAAACGGAGGGAGGCAGAAGCTGGCACCACGGCGGGCCCAGAAGGAAGGAGGAGTTAGCCACCTCCGCTTGACACAAAGTGGGCAAGAACCAGGGAGCCACCACCCAACTCCACACAGCCAGCCTTCTCCAGAGAGGCCTCCTGCGCCAAGGGAGAAGCTCCTGAGATCAGCAAGCAGGACGGGCAGGCTGAGGACGGGGGTGGGGGAAGGGGGGGCATTTTAATTGGGGCACCGGAGGGGGCACACAAGAGTCGCATGGCAAGAGATGGAGCCGCCTTCCTTCTTTGCTCACAGTTGGGGGGCATCGAGGGGGGGCTGCCTTCGGGGAGGGGAGGACTTTTTGCAGGAATGCTGTTAAGTGCAGGATTCATCCAGCAGGAAGGTGGACTAGCTGCCCTCTGAGTTCCCTGCAGGGAGGGGGGGTGCTTGGTGGGAAACGTTTTGCTGAAGCTTTGGCCAAGACACCAAGGCCCGGGAGCCTCTGGGATGCCCACCCGCTCCAAGGAAGGAAGGGTAACTAGCGGGCGCCACCAGGATTGTCGTTTTGATGCCAACGGAGAATATTCACTCCTCCGCACTTTCACAGCCACGGTTCAAATCCCTACGAGGTTCTGGAGGCTTTAATGCGCCTGTTAACTGGACGGCCGCAGCACTTTCCCTGGGCCGCGCCTGGAGTTTCCAGAGGTGGCTGCTGTTGTGGCAAAGTGGGGGAATCCTTGAGGCTGGCGCGCATACGGGGCCCAGAGCAGCCTGGAAACGCCTCTCTGCTTGCTGTGCCCCTTTCCCACAGGGGAGGGTGGGTCCTGGGTGGAAGCCGCTTGGTCAGATGGGCCCCAGGCTGAGCAGCCGGGAGGCTCCGGCCCTGGCACTGCCCGAGTCCTCTTTTAACGGCCACGTCTGCGGGAAGAGGCCTCTCTGGAATCTAATCAGAGCAGAGACGCTTTCTCCTCCCTATACCGGTCTCAGCAGAAAGCCCCCCTCCCCTTTGTCTCCCCCCCCCCCTTTGCCTTGGGACTGTTAGCCACTTGCTTTGGGGAGGAGCCTGGGGTCTGCTGCCCCTCTGCTTCTTCTGCCTTCAGCCCCGCCCCCCAACCTCCCCTTGGTCTCATGAGCGGACTGGACCTTGTGGGGCAGGAAGAGAAGAAGGGGAGGGCTGAACTGCCAGCAGCTGCAAAGGAGGCCCACAGCTATGGGGGGTGAGGCCGAAGCTCTGGCCGGCCACAGCTTGGGTTACCATCTCGTTAAGCAGAGGGTTGGGGTCAATTCTCTCAGGGAGCTCATGCAGCCCCCCCCCCCTTTCTCCTCCCAAACCGCCTTGGGCTTCATCCCCCTCAGGCCTCTGACTCATCACCCCTGGAGATGGGGACGGCTTCAGCCTCCGGAGCCAGTTCAGGGCCCACATTTGCTGAGGAGCGGAGGCCAGACAGGGCACCCCACTATGTGTCCCCGTCACGGGCGGCCCCTGCTGCTTCCCCTCAAGGCCTTTCCAGGCCACACCGCCCTCAGAGGCCCTTCCCTTCAGCTGGGGTGGGGGGTGGGTGCAAACAGGCCCCAGCCCCCTTTGGGTCCCACCACAGGCAAAGTCGGCCTGCTTTACAGCTGATCTCCTGCTGTGGGTTTTGCCCCGAGACCCTCGAACCGAAGAGAGTTGAAAGTGGGGGGGGGGGAGAGGCTGGAGGGGGTTTCTCTTCTGGGATGGATTTTCTCTTTTACATTTTGTAAAAAATGTGCCTATGTGAGACCTGGGCGATTACATCCATCCGTTTAATAAATAAACGCTAAGTGAATAAAGCCAGTCTGATGCCCAGAGGGAGGGGGAGGGGCAGGCCCTTGGCCGCAGACCCTCCCCTCTTTCTCTCTTGGGGGGGGGGGGCAGGAGGGTCTCCTCTGGGCCTGCGTTTCCCCGGCAGAGTCTCTCTTCCTTCCTGATCTGCCCGGCCCCCCTTTGCCACCCCCGGGCGCAGGCCAGGCAAGCAGATGTCAGGGGGGCGGCGTCCACACGCGTGTTAATGCCTGGAGGACGTGCAGGGGCTGCACAATGTGCAGGGCACACGGTTCGGCAGCCGCACTGGCCATGCGGGGGGGGGGGGAGCGAGTGGGTTGCCCCCCCCCCGTTACTCACTGTGAGCCTGTAAGTCTGCATCATTTTATCAAACTCCTCATCAATCTTTTTATACTTTTCTTCAGTCTGGGGCGTCAGGGCGAAGACGTCCTCCCCGTCGGGGCTCAAACCCTCTCTATGCTTCTTGTTCAGCGCCTGTCCAGCGAGGGCGGGAGGGGGGTTGGGGGNCCCCCCCCCCAATGTTGCCTTGCCCATTCAGCCTCCCAAGGCTCTGCCAACCGGAAAGCTCCCTGGAGCCACGCAGGGCTCCCCCTGCAGAGGGAAAAGAAGGGCATCCCCCCAGCGCCCCTTTGACCTGTCATGCCCGAACCATCAGCCCCCCTCTGGCTGGTCTGGCCTCCCGCTAGGAGAATGGCCAAGCCAGCCATCTAAGCAGTGGGGGAGGGGCTGGCTTTCAACCACCGGAGCCCCCTTCCTCCTCCTCCCCCTCCTGCCCCACCCAGGCTGCCCCCTCTCTGGACCCCTCCCGGACCCTCAGAGCCTCTCCTGCCAGCTGAGGGGTGGGGGAAGAGGGGCCTGGCTGAGCAGGGAGACGTCAAGGCAACGGAGGAGGCCTTCTTGCTTTAGAAAATCCCGATTCTCATTTATCCCTCATTTATGCAGCCAGAAAGTGCGATTGCTTCTCCCCTCAATTTCTCCTCCCGAGTGGAGAGCTTCCTCCCCCCCCCTTTGGAAACTTCTTTTCCACGTCTTCCGGGAAACCACCCAGTGTGGATGGTCAAGAGCTTCTCCCACGGTGAGCAGCAGCCACCCCCATTCCAGGGCCAACAGCACAGGGGGGCCAGGGAGACGCCCCCACCCCCCGCAATGCCTTGAGCCCTCCTCCTTCCATCTCAAGAGGCACCAGAGCCCCACTGCTTGGGATGGGGGGGGGGGGAGGGAAAGCAGCGTCCTTCGCCTGGCTCCCCAGCAGCCCCCAAGCTCTCTCCTAGGGGTGGGGGCACAACACGGCCCCTCTGGCCCCCAGGATCCTGCCTCGGCTCTTCTGCATTGGGTGCCAGGCACTCTTTGGAGGGGGCAGCTGGGGGGTCACGGAGGGGCGTAAGGGGGTCAGAGGCCGGATCTGGTGGGATAACTGAGCCGCATTAGTGAGAAGACTCAGCCTGATGGTCAGTGCCAGGGGAGCCCCCCCCTGCCCCCCGGGAGCAGTGAAGAGGGGCAGCACCCAAAGGAAGGACCCATGCTGCAAGGGGGGCTGTGGGGGGGGGTGAGGACTCAGGCAAACAGCTCTTTCTCCTCCCCCCCATTAAGGAAGGGCTGGTCTGGCCCAAAGAGGAGCCTGTCAGTCGCAGGCCGAGAGACGCCAATCCCGGGGGGGAGGGGGTGGGTGGGCAGAGGCAGGCAAGCATGCACCCCCAGGAGGAAAAGCACCCAGACCCCCCAGAAGGGGCCAGAAGCCAATGTAGAAGCCTGTGTTTCCTCTAGGACAGTGTTTCCCAACCTTGGCAATTTGAAGATGTCCGGACTTCAACTCCCAGAATTCCCCAGCCAGCATTCGCTGGCTGGGGAATTCTGGGAGTTGAAGTCCGGACNAGGCAGGAGAGGAGCGGCTGCACACTTCCCATGCGTGTGCCACAAGGACATCAAACGCTGCCGGCGTGTTTACCAAGTATTTATTCCAGGCATGGCAGCTGATTTGAAGGCTGCCTTCCGCCGCCTCACTTAATCATTGTGTTTTCAAAATACCAGAAGCAATTAGACCCCATCACGGAGCCCCCACTTGCCAAAGCATTTTGAAAGTCAGGTTGCAGGAAGCCTGTGGAGAAGCCTTGATCTCTTGTTGGGCTAATGAGAAATTGAAAGGGGTCTCTGTGTGTCCTTGTGTGTGTGTGTGAGAGAGAGAGAAGGAGGGGGAGAGAAAAAGGGAGGAGGGAGAGAGAGAGAGAGAAAGGACCCAGGCACAGAATCAAGGCTAAGAGACATGGATTCCCAGAGCAAATGGGGGTCAGGAACACTTGGGGTTTCCCCCCCCCCCCCCCGGCAATGTTCGCCTAGGGACTGTGAGTGGCCATTAGGAATTCATGGAATTATCACTTTGGAAAGGAAGAGGAGGAAGCTGATTTTGGGTGAGAAAGGACCCCAGAGCGCCAGAGGAGGCAGCTATGATTCAAGGACAGTCGGGCGAGGCTTAGAGCAGCTGCCCTCTTCCCTCCCTCCCTCCCCCCCTCCCCCCCTCCGGGAAGAGCAGCACTCAGCCCCTCCCCTGCAGCTCTGGGGGGGGGGCTCTCTTGGGGGGGCCTGCCCCAAAGCCCAGCTTCTGCCCTTAGAAGAGGGAGGGGCTCTGGAGCCCAGAAGGACCAGGGAGGGCCCCTTCCCACAAAGGGGCTGGAGTGGAAGGCCTCTCCGGGGCATTTAAGTTCTACAAAGTAATGAACAGACGAAATACAAATAAGGCTCCGGCTCAGGTCCAGCCTGGCAGCCCCACTGAAAAACCAGCACGGAACATCTGGCTTCCCGGCCTCCCATCTGGGCTCTGCCACCGCAGCCGTGGTGGGACGCGGCTCCTCTCAAAGTGGTCCAGATGTGGCCCACGTGCGGCACAACTGGGCAGCCCCTGCTGACCTCAGCTCCAACTCCCAAGGACGGCCCTGCAATCCTGTCCTTCACAAAAAGCGGGGGGGGGCACGTGAACAAAGGCCCCCGGGGGAAACTCCAGTTTCATGGGGGGGGGTTGTAAGCACCAAAGAAGCATCCCCTCCCCAAATTCAGGGAAGACCCAAAAGGCTTGAATTCGGATGGGGGGGGGGAGCAAGAGCCAGCCCAAGAGCTCAGGAAGGAGGGGAGGCAAGCAAGGGGGGGGGGGAAATGCAGGAAAGCCTCCCCAGCCTTACAAAATGGCCACCAACCCCAAGGGTTTTGCCTTCCCTGAGCCCCCCCCAAGACACACACACTGGGCCACCCATCTCAGCCAGAAAGTTTGTGCCAAGGAAGCCAAGGAAGGGGGTGGTGGTGCAGCAAACACTCCCCACGATTCCTCCTCCATCCTCCCCCTGCCTCTTGTTGCCATTGGATTCCAGCCCCCCCCCCCCAAAAGAAAACTGGGCCGAGCAGCATCTTCTGGCAGCCCTTCAAAGCAGGGCCCCCTCTGCCAGGAGCCGAGGGCAGGTGAGAGCCACGCCTGAGACCCGGGGAAGCGGCTCAGGGGGACCACAGAGCCCTGCCAGATGATGTGAGGGGGCTGGGTTAAGACTCGGGAGAGCAGGGGGCTGGAGTTAAACAGACGGGGGCTAGAAGTGGGGGTGGAAAGACACAGAGTGGAATTTAACAGGGAGGAAATGAAAGCAGGCAGGCCAGGAAAGGGAAAGGAACAGCTCCCGAGGGGGGGGGGGAATCTGGCTCAAGGGAGAAGGGCTGGGGGCCACCGGTCCCACACGGCCAGCAGAGTGCACACATTTCAGGCAGGAGGAAGCCCACAGTTCGCCACTCAGCTCTGGGTCCATAACACCCACCAATTTGGGAACTGTTGTGCCAGCCAAAATGACCAGCTCTCAAGTCCCCAACGTAACTCTCTTGTTACGCAAGAAGATGTTCAAGGTTGTTAAAGAAATGTGGAAGAAAAATGCTCCCAAGGGTAGGGTAGCATTTCCATTTGGATTCGGAAAGGGGTGAAGCGCTCACCAAAGACTCTGCCCTTCTGGAAGGCGGGGAGGATGAAGTCAATAAGTAAGGTGGCGCGCACACACACACACACACACACACACACACACACACACAGACGAAGCAGCCAGGACCCCAGGGAAGGCAGCCGTATCTAGGGCAGCCCTAATCCTTCATTCAGATTAGTTGATTTCCTGGCCACGGGGCGTCCGCCTTACCTGGATTAACCCATTTTGCTTCTCCTCTGCCCCAAGTGACTTCCCTGGCAGCTTTGCCCCAACTGCCAAACAAGCCCAGGGTGGCATTTGACCTGGAGAAAAGCCCGGGGGGGGGGGCCAAGGTGGGGGCTTTTCAGTGAGAGGAGCTTATCTGACTTCCATGACACTTTCCATGTTTCTTCAATGGCACCCAAGCACCTGGAAACGCAGCTTCACCCAACAGGAGGCTTCATAGGAAACGGGGGGGGGGGGGCACACCCTTTGGGTTGCCGGGGGCTGGTGGGTCAGGGGGCGGCTGGGTGCAGCCGAGGCTTCTCCTGGATGGGCTGGGCAAAGCTGATGCCAGGGGGCCCTTTGCTCAGCCCCTGCAGCCAGCCCTGGAATGGGCACAGAGTCCCTTCCCCAAAGGGTTACAGCGAAGGGCCAATCGGGGCACCGCCAAGGGAGCCGGGCACGAGGGGGAAAGCTCAGGCCCATCCCACGGGTGACCTCACGTGTCTAGACCCCAGCAAAGACCAGCTCCCCCCCCTCCAAAAAAGTCCCATGCTCCCTGGCTGCCAGGAGACGCCCACCCCCCCACTAGCCTCACAGGGGTCTTTGAAATGCAGTCAGCAGAGTCTGGATGTCCCCAAACAGCTCAGGTGTCATTCCCCAAACGGAATGGGACTCTCAAATGCGAGGCTCTCTTTCTCTTTTATTCCACCTGCAGTGCGTGTGTGGGTGCGCGCGCACGCATGCACATACATGTGAGTGAGAGAGAGTGCGTGCCTAAGAGTGCACCTGGCACAAAACCCCCCCTCCCTGCAGAAAGACTCCTCCCCCTCCCCCTTCCTATTCCATCTTGAGCAGATAAATTGAATGACTAAAGGTTTTGTGTGCCTTAATTTCTGCTCACTTGTAATGTCAATAATTACCCAGCCAAACCATTCATTTGTCTGGATCCTGCCAAGCGCAGAGAGAGCCACCCACGGGCACATTTTCATTGAAAGGTGACAAGCAGCCAAGGGAAGCTGCCAGCAGGCATGGCTGCCTCCCTCGGAAGACCAGGCCAGGGAGCTGCCCTCGGGGGTGACCCTGCGGGAGAGACCGGACGGAGCCCCCCAAGTCAGAGCCTCGGCAGCTGAGAGAGACCACGGAGGGGGGGGGAGGGGGTCCCTGTCTCACCTTGAAGGGAAGGCAAAGGAATGGCGGTAGCAGCGGCGTCTCCCTCGGTCCCTCTTTGGGAAGCCATCCGGGCACAGAGGGGGGTCAGAGGGCCGGGCTGGTCCTCAGGAAGCCCCAGAGTACAGCCGGCCACACTCCGTCCCGGGACTCTCTCACTGACCTCCGGCCAGTCCTCCTGAGCATGCAGGGTTCACCCTCTGCGTGGCTGTCCGTGGCCCTTGAAGACGCTCCCTCCCTTCCCCGGGAAGACTCGCACCACGTTGGAGCAGCTGCGTAAGGTTGCCCCCTTCGGGGCGGCCAGGCTGCACGGAGCCACTTGGAGGATTTGCTCCTTTCTGGATACGGGGGAAACCCCTGGCCCCTTTGGTCAGCCCAATGCCCACGGAGCAAGGCTAAAAGGATTTTGCCCAGATTCTTCACTGAGCCGGGCCGGGCTCTGCAGCCGGCCTCTGGCACGGAGGGTGAGCCAGGAGCGGGACCCCCTTCCGGGGCCAGGACAGGGCACCCACCTCGATGATGTCCGCGTTGGTCCGGCTCTCGTGGGGCTCGTTGTACTCGGTGTACTTGAGCAGGACCTTGTCCATGTCTGTGCTGGCGTACTGGAAGAGCTTGTTGGAGTGGTTGAAGATGATGAGGGCGATCTCGCAGTCGCACAGGACGCTCAGCTCGTAGGCCTTCTTCATCAGCCCAAACTTCCGCTTGGTGAAGGTCACCTGCAGCAGCAGAGGGAGGGGGGAGCCTCAGCACAGGGAGGGGGGAGCCCACATCGGACCCTGTCCTCGTCCCCACCTCCCACCCCCCGGGAGTGGAGCTCCGGCCCCCCTTCCTTCCTCCTCGCTTCCCAAGATGGGGGCTGCCTCGGAGGCCGGTTCCCAAGGGTTACGCAGCACCCGCACTCCCTCCACTGCGGGACCTGAGGGCATCAGCCACACAGGCTCCCTCCTTGGACCAGGCTGAGGTCTGTCGGCGAAGCACCAAAGGATCCCGGCTGCCTCTTAGGCCGAAATCAGACCAAGCAGGCCCAGCCCTGCCGAGAGAGCCTCTCCCCAGGAATGGAGCAAGCAGGAAAAGCTGGAACTCTTGACGAGGGCAGAGGCTTCATGGCTCTCTCAGCCTCTTCCCCCCCCCACTGGACGATGCCCCCTCCCACACGCTTCATGCTCCCCCCCCCAAGCCCTGGGTGGCCCAGCTCTGGGCCAGCCATTAGGGGAGCCCTGACTTAAGGCCTTCCCTTCCGGTGGCAAATCTTTGTGGGCACAAAATCCGTGTTAAGGAAAGAAAGAGGGAAACTGTTTGATAATAATAAAGAAAGAAAATAGCTCTTTTCTGCGAACGAAAGAGCAAGTGGGGAGCAGGAGACCGGAGGGAAACCTCGGCTGAGTTTCGCAAACTCTTCCTCTTTATCTGCTTTTCTTTTTTAAGAGGTTTGGTCGGACAAACTGCCTGGTTCCACCTCCTCTGGGCAAAGGACGTTTGAAGGCTTTGAAGCGGGGTACAAAACGCCCCCCTTCCTCTCTAGAAGGAAACGGCTCAAAGTGTCCAGAAAAGGCTTGAGGGCCAAAGAATCACAAGACTCCTTTTGGGGGTGGGGCAGAGCTGCTGGCTCATCCCCACCTCCCCTGTCCGCTCCATCCCAGCCCCGGGTCTCAAGTCTGCTCTCCCAGGGGGATGTCTGGGCTGACCCACATCAGCTGGGCCTCCCCTTTAGATTCAGTGGCTGCTTCTCTTCCAGGAGATGCAAATCTGGGGTGCTAATAATAGTAACCCTAATATGGGACAATGATTCCCACAACCTGGGCTGCTTTTTGGGCAAAATGAGGGGGGGGACACAAAATAAGCTCTATGACCACCCCCCAACCCTTCCTTTGGGGGGGGAGAGGATTCTCTCATAAGAGGTGAATGAATTTTATATTTTTCTTTAAAGGATCTGATCTTTTTTTTTTAGCTTCAAGTGATATTCCCAACATTTAGTGGTAAAGGAGATAAAAATGAAAACGTGTTCAAATATAATCACTTTAAAGGATCTGGCAGGAAAAAAGGTATTTAATTATGAGGAAACAAGGCAGATGATTATGCCGGCCTCTGGGCTTAGAAACAGCCCTGCCATCCAGAGACCCAAGTTGCATAAAATGCATACAATGACTGAACTTGTACAAAGGGAATAAATACAAAAGTCCCCCACCCCCCAAAGGTTCCCCCTGCCTCAACTAATCCTGGGCTTGTCCCCCAGATCCCTGGCCATTAATCCTGAGGCTTCTGGAGAGGCTTCCCTTCCGGGGCTCCTTCCCAGCCAAAGCATCTTCTCCTTGGCATAAGTGGGGGGCTTTGGGGTCAGCCCCAGGAGCTCATCAGATTTGATCTCTCCGGCCAGCGACCCAACCCTGATGCGCCAGGGCCTTCCTCCCGGCATGGCTCTCCGCTCACTGCCATCTTGCTAGGCCAGCAGCCTTCCTGGTCCTGGCTGAGGAGGCTCCATGGAGGCCTCCTAAATCACCCCAGGAGGTGCACGGGAGGGAAGGGCCGGGCAGCCTTGGAGCAGAGTGGCGGGAGGGAGAGGGGCTCGATCCCCCTTCCGTGTCTCTACCGCCAGCAGAGGCTGAAAAGTGGTTAATAGGATTGAGTCCTAATCGTCTTTCATCCACCCGAGGGCTGAATGACACACCACCATGCCCCCCAACACCCGAGGCGGGATCAGCTTCGGTCCTTCCTCTGTCAGGCAGCCACGTGGCTCTGTGGGGGGGTGGCAGCAGTGGTGGGCAGGAGTGCTGGGAGTTCAGCAGCAGGCAGCCACTTCCCTTCGCTGGCCTGGCACCCCAGGGAAAGGCTGCTGAGCCCTCCCATGCCCACAGGGCTGGCGAGGGCAGCCAGGGGTGGATGGAAGGGCAGATGCTGGGCAGGGAATCGGGGGATGGAGGAGGCCAGAAGGGCCAGACCCTGGGCAAGACCGAGCAACCCGATGCCCACCCTCAGCTGGAACCCTCCCAGCGGTGGTCACAATAGGAGCAGTCTCTGCTGACCCTCGGATGCCCCCCAGCCAGGAAGCCTTGCCCTGCTTTGGGTTCCAGGCAGCCTCTTCGTGTGCCCGGAAGCTGCACACCGCAATGAGGACTTTGTGGGAAAGGAGGTGCCCCCCCCGCCCCCCAGGAAATGCCAGGTGCCTAATTGCCTTCTCCTCTGGATGAAGCCTTCCAGCTCCTGAGACCTTCCTTCCAGATGTCCTCTCATCTGCCAGGAGGGCCCATGCCTCTCCCAGATGCCCCACACGGCCCTCCCCTCGGCTGCCCACGGCACACTCCTCTGGCTTCGGCCTCTGGAAGGGCAGAACAGGCCCTTGCTCAGCCCCACCACCAGCCCAGCTGGGGCTCCTCCAGGTGCTGGGACTAGCAAAAGAGAAAAGCCAGCCGCCAATCCTTCCCTCCCAGGCCTGGCTGGCCCTCAGGGACCCGGCTGCAGAGGGAGAGGCAGAGGGGTGGGCACAGGACCAGGAGACCCCTACTCAGAAAGCCCAGAGGGGGCTGCTCTCCACCTGAGCCCCTCTGGGGAATGGAGGAAGGGCTCTGCAGGCAGGACCCTCTTCCATGGGAAGGCCTGGGCTGAGCAAAGGGACCAAGGCAGAAGGAGACTCTCTTCTTCTCCCCCTCCAGGGATTTAAAAATGTCACATTAAAGCTACATTTGGGAATTTGAGAGTGACAGCCCACCAGGGGGGAAGGGGAGGGGCTGCAGCCGATGGGAGGAGTTTGCCTTCCCTTCAAGGTGAGACAGGGACCCCTCCCCCCCCCCCCCCGTGGTCTCTCTCAGCTGCGGAGGCTCTGACCTGGGGGGCCTCCATCCGGTCTCTCCCGCAGGGTCACCCACAAGGGCAGCTCCCTGGCCTGGTCTTCCGAGGGAGGCAGCCGTGCCTGCTGCCAGCTTCCCTTGGCTGCTCACTGGGACGAGATCTGTTCCTACCACGGATCAGGGGGTTTCCGACGACCAGCATTAGGGCCCAAGGCCGTGCCTGGACAGAGGGAGGGGGGGTGATGCCCCCCAGCGGCTCTTGGGTTGGAGGAGGAGCAGCCTTGAAACTGCCGCAGGGCCGGCTCTTTCTTTTGAAATAGCAATAGCAATAGCAGTAGACTTATATACCGCTTCATAGGCCTTTCAGCCCTCTCTAAGCGGTTTACAGAGAGTCAGCATATTGCCCC